AGAGACTTGCTATTTGTGAGAAACCCACATTTAAAGGAGCTTGAAGATGATGTGCTCTTTCATATTGGAATAACAGCTGGTGATCATAAAAATCTCAAAAACTTGTTTGGTGATGTCAAGGTAATTTGATACTTCATTGGAGACAAAAATGTGAGCATGTTTGTATACTAATCAATCACCAATAACAAATCAGGGAAAGAAACAGTCAATGAGCTAAAAACTCATTTGGCACAGTTGTACATTAATTGGAAAGTACAACTGGACCAGGGTTGTAAGCCAAGGAGTTTCAAGATGTTTTCCATTTTTATTTTGTGTGGGTTTTGGAATCTCTTCACTTTTTATGTACATCTTGGTCTACTTTCTTGGAAAATTATATATAAACAAATCTTAAACAGTCAAATCAAGTTACTGATAACAGGCTGGTTTCTGGGGATATTATTCATAGATCCACAGTGATCTCCTATGTTTGTTTTTGATCTAAGAGTTTGTTGGTGCATCATCTAAAATGAAGGAGAAATAGAAAATAGTACCAGAGCTGTATAGTTTTTCTTTCTTATAGTTCGTCTGCATGGGAGGAAGTACAACTCGCATAAAACATTTTGCAAAGTTTATTCAGGGAGAACTTAAGGACCACTTAAAGGATGATAATGAGCCACTCAACATGTCCAAGTCTGATCGCTACGTGCTGTACAAAGTTGGACCTGTCCTGGCTGTAAATGTAAGTTCTTTGTTGTAATGTTTGTACAAGAGGATCCTTACCTGATTAACTGTTTGCTAGTGCAGAAGGAAACACCATTTTTTTGTACCAACACTCTTCCAGTCTCGACTCAGATACAGCAAGGGGTACAGTAGTTGTCACAAAATATTGTGCTACAAGAGGTGGTGACCCTAGCCCTCTGAAACTATTTATTATAAAATAATTATTCTTTATTTCAATCTGGTGTTTCATCATTGCTTTAATTCATACTTCATCAAGCACACATAATAGTTATGCACCAGTGTGCAAGTGCCTAAGTAGTGTGATATTATGATTTCTGAATTCTATAGTAAAACTCAAACTGGTTCAAAAAATTGAAAGTAACAATAAATTGAACCCTAACACATGTAATTGATTGTGTTCTTATTTTCTACTTTCAACATTTATTTTGTTTGAAGCATGTCAATTACATCAGGAACAAAATTCTAGTTTTCTCAAAATGGCAAAAACTTCAATTCTATCAAAAACTTAATGCCTGAAACACCAACATACCAACCAAGGCAAACAGGAGGCCAAGGGAAGGCTAACAATGCAATCCATACTCTGAACTTTTAAACAGACAGAATCCAGAATCCGAGCCAAAGATTTCAGACAACTGACAGTGCAATCCATCATATTTTTTAAATTTGCTAATGTGTATCTACCTAACTACCCCATCCTGCTTATTTTAGATTTGTAATGTGGTAAACAAGGCTACTGTTACTTACATGTAAAATAAATATGTTCTTGATCTGCAGCATGGCATTGGAACTCCTTCTTTGGTGGTTATAATGCATGAAGTTTTTAAACTCCTTCACTATGCAGATGCCAAAGATGTGAAATTTTTCCGCATTGGCACATCAGGAGGCTTAGGTATTGATCATCAGTTACAATTATTGTGTCACATAATAAGTGCTTTTATCCCAGGAAAATCATTCATCAATAGTATCTTGTAAGTTTCCCATAGAGGGTAGACCTTAAGACCTCTAGGTCTGCTGTTAGTGACTTTGGGTGACTTTTTTTGGAGCAGGTCGAGCATCAGTCCAGATCCCAGAGTTAAGAATTGAACCAGACTTTTGAGTAATTTGATTAACAAATAATAATCTTCACTTGAGTCATTTGTGTAAGAAATAATAATATTCACTTGACACTCACCACCAATGACAAAAGTCCATTTTAACTCTTAGTAGGACATCATTTATATTATGAGGTTTAATTAGGTATAATGAGGTTAACTAAGCCCTCACTCATTCACTCACTCACTAACTCCATTCTGATCTATTGGACCATTAATTTATTCACTGAACGTGGATTAAATGTGTTATCCCCTACCTCTCCTGCAAGGTATTGCTCTGTCCTCATAGTTGTGCTATTGGCTGATCTGTTGAATATATCTGGAGGGGGGTGGGACAAAGTTAAGGCTGATATTTCTTTTGTTAAGATTAATTCACTCAGAATATCATAACGTGATTAGCAATTTCTGTTATTTGTTGCAAGTTAAAGTGAAATCAAAGCTTATGATAATACTAACACGTGGTAGGTAACTTCAGGGGGGGTTTATATTTATTTGGGTATCATTAGATATAACAGTGCGGATTAAAAATCATTCAACTTTTATCTGTTATCTCAAAGGTCTAGAACCTGGGACTGTTGTGATCACAAGAACAGCAGTTAATTCTCTTTTAGAACCATTCAGTGAGCAGGTATGACATCTACATAGTATTTGTTTCCTGGTTGGTGGGCAGATGTAAAAAAAGAGACTTCAGTTGTCAGTTGTAAGATCAAACGTTTAAAGGGATGTTGTTTTTCCTTTGGACTGATCTTTGTTCTGAAAAGATTACTATCATTATTATTAATTTAAATACAATATGGGCCGTAACTTGTAACACCTGTCACGGCTGAGCTCACTCTACGTTACTGGTGAAGATGTTGATTGCTGTAACGTTATACTATATATGCTATAAATCACACAGCTACAGCTGATATCTCCAATGTGAGGAGGGGGGCATTGGGGCCTATTAGAAACCGAAAAACGGTAGGAAAAAAATGTTCTAAAACTGAAAAAACCAAAACAAAAATCGATCAAAACCAAAAACCGCATGTAAAACTGTCGAAACCGATACATTTTCACATCCTAGTGTATTAAAACCCTGATCGATCTGTTACAGTGGTGACAAGTGGAGCATATAGGGTAAACTGCACTAATCTCATTACAGTATTTGTGAATGCCATGGACTTGACATTCGTATCTTCTAGTACCTGCTTAAAATATAGGCTTTATTTCAGCTGTTCTCTTGAGGACCTCGAGCGCGGTCTCTGCAGACTCAGCAGCTGATCATGGAGCCCAGTTTAATTAGGGAAATTTGCACAAAATTGCGTTTAACGGCTATTTGAGATCAGTGAAGGCGCGTAATTGCCTCTCAGATTGAACCCAAATAGGTCAAATAGGAAAAACCGAAAAACGCATCTAATATCAAATCTGAAAACCCATTAGTATTTTTCGCAAAAACAGAAAACCAAATGCTAAAAAACAGAAAATTCGCAAACCACAATAAACATCAAAACTGAAAAACTGAAGTTTTTCAGCACAAAAAGTGAAAAACCGACCTAAAAAATAGCCAAAACCACAAAACTGAAAATCCCAATGCCCCCCTCTGTAAGGGCTGTTTCAAAAATAAGAGGCAGCCCTACCATATAAAGTATGCATCACCATTTGTTCAAATTAAAGTATTCTGGCCTGTTTAAGCACTACAAAATATTACAGTGATACCCTCCACCCATGGGTAATGGTAAATTGCTTGAGAAACAAGACAAAGTGGTATCAAGTATCTGTCCACGAAGATTAGTATACTGTTAAGAAAGCCCCCTCTCACCTTATGTTATGCAAATGGTCTTACGCTTTGGCAGCCTGATCATCTTGGCTCATCTTCTGTGCCTTAAATACTGCTCAAATCTTTGATGATTCTCAATCCTTCAGAAATCTCAATGGTGTGAATGTCTCCACTTAATTCACAGGGTGATCATTATGCAGGGAGCAATTATGGGAACATCTGTCAAACTATCTAAATACAGGAATCAGTTTATTAATTTTATCCAATGCCTATTGCAGGTGATCTTGGGTAAAGTGCAGAAGTTTCCATCAAATCTGGATGAAAAGTTACAAAAGCAAGTAATGGATTGTAGTGATGGTTTGCTGACAGCAGTTGGAGACACAATGTGTGCCCATGACTTCTATGAAGGTATGTCAAGGGCATAGCCGAAACAGGTAGGGTTATTGTAGGATACCTACAAACCCTCTGCTTTTACAACTTTCAAGGAATATGCCCTAGTGAGAGAGAAAATCTCATCACGGGTTAGCTTTTTCACCACAAAAATCATCTTAGCTTGCTATGTGGCAGGTGTGGAAGAAGAATGTAAGCTTGTAGGGCATACTCAAGAAAAAGGAAATGGTGGAAGGTGAAAAACAATCTCCCCCTCCGCGATATTAGCCTTTTTTAAACAAATTAACACTCTTTATTTGAGTGCTTGTTGTGCATAATATGACAATGTTAACTTTTCAATGAGCTCACTCCTACTGCTTCTCTTCAGGCCAAGGAAGACTGGATGGTGCCTTCTGTGACTACACACTTGAAGATAAACTCAAGTTCCTACAGAAGATCTATGATGCTGGTGTGCGCAACATAGAGATGGAAAGTGTTTGCTTTGCATCCATGTGTAACCGTGCTGGTGTCCCAGCAGCCATACTATGTGTTACGCTATTGGACCGTCTCAAAGGGGATCAGGTGGAATTGACACCAAAGCAACATGAGGACTTTCAGATGAGGCCTCCCAGGCTTGTGGCCAGATTCATCAAGAAAATGTTAGCAGAGCAAAGCAACAGCTGTGAGTTTCCTCCGAGGAAACGACAAAAGGCTAACTAATCATTTCACAATCACATCATCCTTGATGATTTGAGTGTCATGTTGCTGGGGTGACTTGAGATCACTTGTTAAGAATTTTTTGAAAGGCCTCCTTCAGTTAAGTGAATTTTATTGAAATGGAAAGCGTAATCATGATAGAGAAGCAAGGAATTGTAAGGTGTGATGCATGTAATGCACCTCTGCATAACTGAGGGATACATATCTTCATTAAGGGCTTAGTTATTTAACTAGAGAAGCATTAAAATTGCAGGTCAATTTTTTTTGGCAATGGGGCAAGCCATATTCCCCTTGGAATAGTTCTTTGACTATATTTTTCTAGAGTATAATGTAATAATATATTTCTGGGGTATCATTAGATA